AAAAGACAAATGCACCAAGAAAAACCCTCAAAACCTGAATTGGGGAAGTAAAACCTTATTAGTTTTATAAAATTTCTTGGTACATACTATATTAAAATATTGCCTCTTCTTTGTGCTATGCTTCACATTACTGTTCGCTCTTTACCCCAGGAAAGAGACTCTTGAAAATGCCCCACGAACAGTTTCTAAGAATCATACAAGCCCCTCTCCCTCATCCCTTTTCCTCACTTCCAGGACCTTAAAATGGATTCATCTGATACCAGGAGGCTCTGGGGCCCAGAAATGGGCTCTGACACTTGAATTTCAGTCAAGAGACTCAAAGCTGAGTGACAGAAAGAATCCAGCCCAGCCTGGGTCCCAGAAGGTCCGGGTTTTCCCATCTGCACGTCCCCTACAAGGTTGGGCCACTGAGACATCATTTGCACTTCTAACTCTGCTTCTGACTAGTTGTACAGAGTTGGGTGACTCACTCAACTTCTCTGGGTCTGTTTCTCCATTCGTAAAATGAAAGGTTTGGACTAGGGGAGCTCCAAGTTTCCTCTCAGCATAAAAATCCCGTGATTGCCAGTAGCTTGCTCAAGGCTCATTTCCCTCATGTTTAAAGCAATGAATCTTTTCTACTGCATAGGGAGGTCGTGAAAGTGTATGCAAACGTGCTCAGTAAACCTTAAAACAACACAAATGTCAAGCTATCGTCATTATTATTAGAATTCTTTATGCAGCTCTCTCTTCAAAGCATATTTCATGTCTTTTGCCATTTGTGCTAAAGAGAGATTCCTGCCTTACAGGGATTCCTGAACTTCAGGCCTTGATTTGACGAAAGGAGGCAGGATGTCAGTTCAGGTAGATGAAGCTGTTGCAATTGACAGTAGCATCTGAAAGTTCTTAGGAAGGATGTGGGCTAAGACCTACCTTCAGTCCCCAGAAACACTACCTCTTCACATTCTCATTTAAGGGCAAGAACAGCGCTTACTAAGAAACACTGAGTTCTCAAATGAGGTTTTGTCCAAAGAAAGAAAAGGCCTTGGAAAGTTCCAAGGGCAATAATAGTAATTCTAGGTGCTTATCTTTTGCCTTTCATCTGCATTTCCAAGTAATTTACCCACATTAACTCATTAGAACTCCTAACCCTACACCACCCATCAATCTTGCCTTTGGGATGGAGGGAGGAGATATTATCTAAGCTTTGCATTTGGAGAAAGCCCCTGGATTGAAAGCAATAGTTCTTGTGTCCACATCTGGTGGAATCCTCTCCTGCCACAAGTAGCAAACTCTCTCATCTCTTGTCCCCCATTCCCAGGACTCCTGTGGTGCCACCTCAGTACCTTGCCCAGCATCCCAGGGTGTCAGAACTGGAATGGCTCCTTAAAAACCCCCTGAAGTGGGAAACTCCTTCTTTTACAGTGCAGGAAACTGAAGGAGGGGAAGTGAAACGCCCAAAGCAACACAGCTAGTTAGGGATATAGTCAATAACTTGTCTTAAGAGGCAAAAAATAGAACTATCTACCACCCTCTTCCCCATATGCCCTCACAAAACCAAACCCTCTTTGCGCCCCACTGGGCATCTCAATGCTGCTTAAACCTGAGGAGTATGGGGAAGACAGGTAACATAATGTCTATATGATCAAGCAGCACAGAGTTTCTGTTGCTCTCTCTTAATAGCTGTCTTGTCCTGGGCAACTGTGGTAGCCCTTCCTCTCCTACGCTCCTGGAATGAGTCATTCTTAAGCGAAATGGAAGTTGCAATTCCATCATTTTGGATAGAAAGAGTTAATGTGAAGGGCTCTCTCCTTTTCTCTCATTTAACAGCTAAATTAACATAAGCCTATATGCACAGGGCTTTAGGCAACAGAAAGTCAGTTTGTGAACAATTATAACATGAAATGAAAAGTACATTGTGGCCCAGAAGCCTGGGCAGCTCTAGGTTGAAAGTAGAATAAACTCTTTTGCCAAGAACACAGCTGAATCAACTCTATGCTTTTCACAGAATAGGCATACAATAAATATTTGTTGATTGATTTGGTAGGCAAACATTCTTGACACTTGGATACTTTTCCATGTTGAACTTATTCTTTTTATTTTTCCTTTTTAAAAAATGTTTGGCTACAAAGGCATAGGTGACTAGTGTTTGATACAGCTAGAAGGAATGTTGGTGACAGTGGCTGTCATCTGTATTTCCGAAGCTGGTTTATAAGTAACACTGATTCTGCGGTATCTTGAGAAAAAAAGGTTCAGTGTTCAAATAAGTTGGAAAACATTACTAATCTTCCTACCCCAGTCCCTCAAGATGCTAAAGGCATATACCTTATTAAAAGACACTGAAGGCCAGGCGCGGTGGCTCACGCCTGTAATCCTAGCACTCTGGGAGGCCGAGGCTGGTGGATCGCTCAAGGTCAGGAGTTCGAGACCAGCCTGAGCAAGAACGAGACCCCGTCTCTACTAAAAATAGAAATTATTTCGACAACTAAAAATCTATATAGAAAAAATTAGCCGGGCATGGTGGCGCATGTCTGTAATCCCAGCTACTCAGGAGGCTGAGGCAGTAGGATGCTCGAGCCCAGGAGTTTGAGGTTGCTGTGAGCTAGGCTGACGCTACGGCACTCTACTCCAGGCAACAGAGTGAGACTCTGTCTCAAAAAAAAAAAAAAAAAAAGACACTGAAAAGAGCTGGGGTGAAAAAACAGTTTTAACTTTGTTGAAACAAGTTATTTCCAAGACCACCTGATCATGGAACAATCCCATCCCCATTTTTTTTACATGGTATCTATGAAAGTTCCACAAAATTTGTGTTCTTTGGAAAATACCTTAGGAATTACTAATTGAGCCCAACTTTATGAATTTGACTGATAAAGAGGTCCTGAGAGAGGTATAAGAAGGTATTGGGGGAAATAACTAGAACCCCATTTCTTGAATGTCTGGCCCACACTGGTCAACCAAACCCAACTATAGTGGCATTCCTAATGGGTCCTGGGGTGACAGGCATCATGGGTAGTGCTTGAGATGGTATAGAAAAAGGATGTGGACATTTTACTCCCTAATAGGTTCTTTTAGGGTAATTTGCTAAAACATAGAGGTTGTTTTAGATACTCTTTAAAAATGGTAACCATATCCCATTCTTTCCTTATCTCATAGATCTTCGGATGCCTGCCCAATGCAGCCTAATTATGCCACAGGTGCTTAACAAATGTATTAAATGAGTAAATAAAAGAACCTAGGAGAAATCAGAAGAGGTTGGTGGCAGGGACGAAGGAGGAAAGGGCTAAAAACTGAAAAAAGTGAGAAAAGGAAAAATGTAGAGAAAGAGAGGGATGGGGGAAAAAAAAGGAGCCAGCAGTCACTGATCAGGAAAGAGGATAGTTGAGAGAAGGAGATAGCTGCAGATGATGGAAAAAACAACAAAGGAAAACAGAGTGCCTGGGAAGCTTTGATTTTAAAAAGTGAACATGACTTATGAGGGGAATTCAGATACTGGCCATGCCAGGAGGCCCCTGCCCAGGAGATGGAGATGATCATCAACTGCTGAGAATCTTTCTGAACTCATATCAAGGTGTATTTATTGCACGGGTACAGTAAATGTACAAGGCATCTTCTTGAGTACTGTACCAATAACAGATAAGACACAGGTCTTGCTCTCAACAAAGTTACAGTCTAACTGGGAGAAGAGCTAGGACAGGGACTCAGATAAAATGATGCCAAGTGGAAAGTGATCAGTGCCTCTGGAGGTACAATGAGCCACTACTGTGAAGAATCAGGAGTCTGAAGATCATATCAAGTCATGAGGATCAAAAAGACTATGGAGGGAGAGCCATTGGGATAATGGATAGGATTGCAGCAGGCATTTTAAGGTGACAGGATAAAGAACTACAAGAGATCAGGCAGCATGTGGCACAGTGAGTGGTCCAAGTGGGTTCCAGCAAAAGGGGTGTATGGACAGGGAGGGCTGTGGAGACATGGCCAGAAAGTCCTTATGTCACACTGTGGAACAACCTTGAATGCCCGGCTTAGGTGCTGACACTCCAGGGAGGCAATGGGAAGCGAGTGAAGGATTTTTTTTGTGTAGAGAAATAATAGCATTAGAGATGATTCCCGGGCAGGGTGACTGGGCAGAAAGGGGTAAGTCAAGGCAAGGAGCTGCCTTGTGTGGGCTGAGGCAGTTTGGTTCTGGAGAGACCAAGTGACCATTCAGGTGTTGCCCCTCAGACAGTGGGAAAATCTGGCCAGAGACAGAGGCTGAGTTCTCTCCTGAGAGCACAGAGATAGCATAAGGTTCTGGTCATCCATTCCCTCTGGGGATAGCGACCTAGGAAGAATGAGAGGAAAAGACCAGCCAAAGAGAAGGCAACCAAGAGGGAAAGTCACAGAGAACAGTCACGGGAGGCAGAAATTTCAGTACAGAAGTTATAGCCAGTGCTGAGAATCCCAGCCTTAGACTCCGGAAAGTGAGCGTTTGAACCCCAGTGGCCCGGCTAACCATGGTTAGCAAAGGGATTTCAAAGAGTTTTTGAGTCTGTTTATCCGTGAAATGGGAATAATTTCTATCTCAAATGGTGGAGGGCATTCACTGAGATAAATTCTTAGCATGGAGTGAGCAGGGGCCAGAGGGAGAATGAACGGGAAAGGTTGGGAGTCTTCCCCTCAGGAGTGTCTAGAAATGGAGGCAGGGACCCTCAGGAAGCCCAAAACCTTTGCTTTGGCCGAGTTTGCAGAACGCTCTGCGAGGGCAAGAGGTGAGCTGCGCCTAGGCAGCCTCACTCTAGTCCCCCCTTCACCCACCCTTGCCACTGCCCGTTCGCCCAAGCGTCCATCCCGCCGAACCTCCTCACCTCCCCCTTCCCCCCTCCAGCTTCCCGCTCGGCTCCCTCTCCAGCCCGTCCCAGGGGCCAGAAGCGCATGCGCCCTCCTGCGCCCCTCCTCAACTTTCCACGTTTCACTTCTTTCCCTTTTCCGCCTAGCTTCAGCTCCGTCGCCACGATTGGCCAGCCGACCTCCCCGTCTCGGCCAATAAACGCCGTCCTCTCGCTCCCGTGTTACTGGGTAGAACAAAACAAAAACAAACAGAGCGAGAGGGGCCAGAGACGCTCCGAGGCGGCGGCAGGCGCAGAGCAACGGGGTCAGGGCCGGCAGACCAGGGACCTGGGCGAGCAGCGGCGGTGGCCCGAGCGGTCAGTACCGATGGGCGCGGCTCGCACGCTCGGGAAGACTGCGCCCTTTCCCACATTCCCCGTCTCTCCTCGGAGGCAGCCGCACGTTGGGAGGGGGAGGGGGAGGGGGCGTGAGGCCGCGGCCAGGTCAGATATGAGCCTGGGGGACTGGGGTCTGGCCGCCGCCTCACAGCCCCGCAGGTCCAGCCGCAGCCGCCCCAACGCCCGGGACTGCGGGAAGCCAGCCTGGCTTCCCTCGTGCTGGGCCCAGCCCAGAGCGCGGAGGCGCGGGCCCGCCCCCTCCCGGCGCCCGACCCCGCTTTGAGGGGCGCGCGGGGCGCTCGCCGGCCGAGGGGCTCCTCCTCGCCCCACCCCCCGGGCAGAGGTTTAATTTGGGGGGCGAGAGTTGGGAGGTGTGTTTCCGGCTGGACTGAAATCCTGTGGAAACGTTCGCGCCCTCCCCGCCCCCTTGTAGTCCCCTGAGAAGACGGTCCCGCGCCCGGCGTTTGCAGACCCAGGCCCGCAGCCGCGCCCCTGAGTCCGGGCCCCGGCCGCCCCGGGGGTCCCGGCCTGCGCGGGCTGCGGGAGAGCAGGCCTGGCCGCCGTGGGTTGGGCCCACGCGCGCGCCCCGGGCGCTGGGAGGCGGACGCGGGCCCCCCGCCCCGGCCCTGCGCGAACTTCGCCGCGCCCCTCCCCCGGCGAAGGGTCTGTTTCTCACTTCAGGTGAAATATATAATCTCCCAGAGAAAACAAAGACAGGCAGGGAGCCCCCTTTCTGTGAAACGCGTGCTGTGTCCGCTGCGTTTGTCAATTTGGTGCTGTTAACGTACGTGGAAGGTTTTCTGCAAGAGCTTCAAAACTGTCTGCAGACGTCGATATCGCCCATGTCCCCCATGCCCTTGTGAGAACTGGCTGCGTAGCCAGCCACTGTGGAGTGTGTACAGATGATTAAAACTGTTAAAAATGCAGCTGGGGGTGTGCGTGTGGGGAAAGGGCCACTGCCTGTTTTTAACTTGTATTTTTACTGTTGATTTTTATAATTTTGGTATTCTTGTTAATGTAAGCCTTTTTGGAAAACCACCATATCCTTTGTAAAAAAAGATACCACTGAAGATATGTTGTAAATTTACTTCTTGGTGTTTATGCCCTTTAATACCCTTCATTATCGGTTTCTTGAATTCCTTAATATCTCAGAAGACATCTTTGAATTATAATTGGGTTTTCTATAGCACTAATGTGAAAGGAAAATAATTGTTAGGACTGCAAAAACAAATGCCCCTTTGATATTTTCTGTGGCGCTCACTTTTACATTATTGTGATAGAATGCTTTTAGCTGATTTTAAGTTGCTAATTAGCTGTGATTGTAGCCCAGGAATGAATACAGGTACTTTTCTAGTTAACAAATGGTCTAAACTTGACTCCCCAAAATGTCAGAGTAATTTATGAGGCATATTTCAGGAAACAGATTTTGGCCAGGGTGGGAGACTCGCTCTTTTAAGGAACATCTTGGCAATTGAATATTTCTGATTGTATGTTTCTGTTTAACACACTGGTGAAAACAATATTTAATTTCAGCCGTCATTTTTTTCTAACATGTATATGTAGTTTTCTTATTGGAAATTAATGTTTTATAGCTTAGTATGAAGGAACTGGCGTTTAGATTTTTTTTTTTTTTTTTGCTTTACATTTTCTTGTTCAAGGCAGGAATTTTAAGGATCCTTAAATAGGGGGGAAAAAAGAAAAAAACTCCTACTTTGAAGAGCATGAAACATACCTTTATCCTTCTCTAAACTCTTTTAAAACATCTTTGTTACTATCTAGTGTGACTTGAGTTCTTGATGGGGTTATCATTGCCTAAAGAGATACGAGACCATTTTTTTGTTATGATTACTTAATAAATTAACTTAGTTAAGTTATAGATGATAGTCATTGCCTGATAATTTTCTTTGAGTGAATGTCTTCTGTTTAATAGTTTAAAATAATTACTATTTTTAGTGTTTGGAAAGCACTGGGTTCTAGTCCTGGTTTTCCACTGAGCAGCTCTCTCTCCTTGGACAGATCACCTACCGCCTCTGAATTTAATTGTATGCAAAGTGGAATACCTACCTCAAGATTGTCCTGTAAGGTACATGAAGTAATACATGTGAAATTCTTTGTGAATTATAAAGGGCATTATAAACATCAATTTTAATAATTTCATTCCCTTTATTAGCTAGGTTCTGCAGAAAATATTCTCTCCAAGATTATACTTTCATCAAGAATGAAAAAGACTTTTTAATGTAACTCTAGTTTAAAATATTCAAACACACGTCATGTGACATAATCTCTTTCCTATAACAGGTGATTCGTACACTGAAATGAGACAATGTAACATTTTCAGCCTTGGAAGACACTAAATGTTTAGATTCTCAAACTATTTTTGTTCATATATCTGTGCAAATCTCTATATACATATTCTTAAGATTTTTTTTCCTAAATCCAGAGTTGGTGGGAATTATGATACTGACAAATGGTTATATAGAATCACATATGTTGGTTTACTCTGAATAGAATTAAAGAGTGAGCTCACCATTTTCTTAACTTCTGAAGCAATATGATAGCATCTTGTTAGTCTTAAGGACTATGCCATATTAAGCTTATAATTTTACCATAAGGTGCATTTGTTTCACAAAATAATACCTTTTTTTGGAGAAGAAGGCTATAAACTTAACAAAAAATAGTATATGTTGAGGAATTTAAAAGTCACTTTCACCTTTGAGTCCCAGGGGCATTGTATGTCATTGTTATCCTAAAATGACATCTAACAGTAGTTATGTTATATGAAAAAAAATGTGCTTTTCTGTAATTGATTAGGCATTTTCACTAATTCGTGTATTTGCTTTTTATTTTTTGTGGTGGAGTCTCGCTGTGTTGCCCAGACTGGTCTTGAACTCCGGAGCTTAAGTGATATTCACACCTCAGCCTCTTGGGTAGCTGGGACTATGGGCCCAGCTTAATTCATGAGTTTTGTATTTCAGAGGAAGAGCACGGTATTAGCAACATGATTGTAAATGACTGGAAGACTTATATCCAACCTATATGACTTAAACAAATATGCACTTAAGTACTCTAAACCACTATCTAAAAAATATTTCCAGAGAGATTCTGAAGTTTTACTTGGTTATGCCTTCTAGGGAATATATTTTTTGAAAATGATTTTGATAGTCCTTCTTTCAAATTACGTTGGATCTGTGTCACTAATTGTCCGAAAGATAACTGATTTCATCAGAGTCTTCCAACATTAATAATTTTTAAGGCAATTTGAGACTGAGGTCTAAAATATTGAGATGCTGTGTCATTGTACTTAATTCCTTTCTAAAATAGGTCAGATTTTTTAAAAAAGAATGAATTTTTCAGATTATAAAAATAATATGCGCATTATAGAAAACACTGATTAAAATTTCTCCCAATCTATATTACTAGAATAATTATAGAGACCTGGGAAACGAAGTGGCAGGTATGTCTGTCTTCAGATATGCTGTAGTGTGAGAAATAACACAATCTTGTGATATTCTTGATTAACCAAAACTATGTTTGTGTTTTGGAGTAGTTCTCATAATTTGTTGGTAGAGAATTATACCTCAGTATTAATGTTCCTATATATGTATATCAGATTAATTTTGAGGCTTGGTATTCCTAAAAGATGGAGGGGTGTGTGTCGGTATTTTTTTAATTTGAAATAAAAATGTATATAGCAAATTTTTAATTCCAATTATCGGGGTGCTTTGGCACATACTGGAATTTGGGTATTTTTGACTCTTATAAATTTGTCAAAAAGATTGTAACCAAATGTTAATTAGGGTAAGTTGTTTTTGAAAAGTAAAGTGAACTTTTTAAAAATGGAATTGTTTTTTTTTTAATAGTGTGCTTAAGTAAATCGAGTTTAGCTTAATCATATCAGTTTAGAAGATGCTAAAGCTTTTTTTGTTTTTAAAAAAATAGGTTCTAAAGGAAGACTTTCATTTGGTAATTTGTTTAATCAGTGCAAGTGAAATTAAGGAACAATGGATGTAGAAAATGAGCAGATACTGAATGTAAACCCTGCAGGTAAGTAATAATATTCTGGACCTGGACTGTCTTGTAAGCAAGCTTCAGGCCATGCCTTAGTTTATAAAAACATGATTGTAAAACTGTCTTTACTTTAAATACTATCTTATTGATGTCGTAAGACAACTGGTGATACTATTTTTAAAATCAAGTTTGTGATTCTTATTTTCATGGAAATTCATCACATTCTATTTTTCTGCCTATCCTTTCACATTCTATACATTCTTATTCTCCACTATGTATGATAAGGTGTATAGTACAGAATGAAGAAGAATAGCGAACTTATTAATATTCTCACGTGGGCTAGTGGTTTCTACAATATAAATTATTATTGGTGTCTTTGCTATCTTTCCTAATAATTTATATATTTTAAATTACCTATGCTATTTTCCCTAATTTCCCATGGTGCTTTTGTAGCACATTATCATCATAAAAATGAACATCGTTTTCTGGAATAGGTGATCAGAAATGTTGAGTAACTTATGACAGCTTAAAATGTATTTATAGCTTTAGAATAATCTCCCCAAAGAGTTAATTAGGATTGTGCAATATCTGAATATTGAGAACATGTCATACTGGTATATTTTTAGATAATTCTTTCCTTTATGATTTTATTAATATTGAAAACTCTATTTTCTGTAATTTTAAATTTGTTTCATAAATACTACAGCTTTATTTCTTCAGCGACTTTTAATTCACTATTGTGTACAACATACAGTTTTCTTTGAACGTTTTGAGGTTGAAACTTTGCCATTTTCTATTTATAGATCTTCTGATTTAAAGTATGCTAGAAAATTATATATTTTTCAACTATTATAGTAATTGCTACGTAATTAATAATTTTTGTGCCGCTATATACGATAGCTGTATGAATACTTGTTTTTTTATGATTATAAATGGATAATTTGTCCAATCTTAATTGAGATGGGGATGGTAATAATACACCTTGAGAATATGGCTGGGCATGGTGGCTCACAACTGCAATCTTAGCAACTTTGGGAGGCCTGGAGTTTGAGACCAGCCTAAACAACATAGGGAGACCCAGTCTCTATAAAAAATATAAAACTTAGCCAGGTGTGGTGGTGTGCACCTGTATGCCCAGCTACTCAGGAGGCTGAGGCAAGAGAATCACTTGAGCCCAGGTGTTTCAGGCTGCCGTGAGCTGTGATGATGCCACTGCACTCAAGCCTTGACAACAGAGTGAGACCTTGTCTCCAAAAATAACAAAAAGAAAACATTTTACATGTAGGTAATTGCTGCTTTTGTGTGTTGTCCAGTATAACGGTAACCACTAGCCATGTGTAGTTGTTGAGTAAGTGAAATGTGGCTAGTTTGAATTGAGATGAAGGTGAAATACCTCAACTTTTTATATGGATTGTATGTTAAAATGATATTGTGGTTGTATTATATTAAATATATTAAAATTAATTTTACCTGTTTCTTTTTACTTTTTAACATAGCCACTGGAAAATTTAAAATTTCACCTGGCCCATGTTTTATTTCAGTTAGATAGCACAGCTCTAACTAAGATTTATGCTTTTATTTTCTGACTACAGTTAAGACCTAGTTCTAACTCTGTTGTTGATGCCTCTGCCCTTTGCTGTCTTAAAATAAAAGACTGTTCTTCAATATTTGGATAAGCCTTAGACAAGACTCTCTTTGCAATGAATTCTTCCTATAGCAAATAGTTTAAGTCAGGCAGACTAGTATACTAATTCTAGCTTCTCCCTTTACCAGCTTTGCTACTTTGAGGAAGTAGGTTATTTACTCTGACCTTCCTTCAGTTTCCTCATGTGTAAAATTAGGGTATAAATACCCTCTGTATAGATTTATTATAAAATATTATAATGTATATGTGTCAAGCCTGTGAAGCACATGTTAGGTATGTAATACATGAAAATGTGCTAATATTGTTATTCTAATTACACCACTTATTGGACATCAGTAATTGAAAATGTGATTGTTTGGTACTGTGGTCGTATAAATTGGAGTGGATGCTGTTGAGATGTCAGAGAATTCAGAGAGAGGGAATTTAGTACACAGTAGAAAACAATTTTGAAGTCACTATATGTTCAGGTTTTTTTATCCTTTTAATTTTGGTTTTCTCAAAGTCAGATCAATAGTGGATATGGAATTCCAAAACTTAGGTGAATATGAATAGCAAAATATAAAAAAGCAATTGATACAAACAGGTTAAAAATGATAAGGTCAGATATATAAATTATGTTATGAGAAAACGAATGCTTTCTGCAGACACACAAACATATTTGAAAGGATATTAAAATAGTTGAAAGAAAAGAAAGTTATGGGAAATAATTTCAATATGTTTAGATAGAATAAAACTCTAAGGGACAGTTTAAAACATTTTATTATACTTCTGAGTCTTTTATCTTCTGGATCAGTTTTGCGGTTCATGTTAATGATAAAATAATGAAAGCATTGCATTACAGGTAGATATTTAATGTTTTTCTCAACTACCTACTCTTACATGAAAACAACATCTAATTTGCCTGATCTCTGGTCTTTCTGTCTCCTTCCCCTTAATCTTTCGCTTATTTCTCTTTACATTCATTCCCTTGTTCATTTTATCTGTCTCTTTAGCTGTCAACACTTTGTTGTGTTCTAGTTTTGTGTTTTCTGTAATTACAGTCATACGAAATTCAAAATGTGGGTTTGAATCCTGGCCACAATCATTTCTAGAAATGTAACTTCTCTATGAAACACCTTCCTTCTGTAAAATGAGGACAAACAATTTCTTTATAAAGCTTTGTGAGTCTTACAGACCGTGTTTGTAAAGTGCCTAGCATAGAACCTGTTATTTCATAGGTATCAGGTAGTATAGAACCTAGTATCTAATAGGTACCAATAGTACTATTGGTAATGACAAAAGAAGCAGTAGTAATACTACTACTGCTAAGACTACAATTTACTAGTACTACTAATTTAGTTACAGTGGTATTCCCGAAGACACTCTCCTAACACTGGCTTCTCACCAGTCCAAAAACTTTTAACTTTTTTCACTCTTCTTTAATCCCAAATCTATTCTGCTTAAAAGCCCCCTGTCTTTGTCTTTAAAAGTATCACATCATTATTTACTCCATGTTTATTATCCTTGCCTTTTTCTAGTTAGCTTGTGACTGAATTGCTGCAGCATTTTCTTAGCTGGTCTCCCACTCTATACTTTTTCTTTTGTCTGATACATTCTGTATTCCTCTGCCAAACTAATCCCCCATCTCCTACTTATGATATCAAATGTGACTATTTGAGTGTGGGAGTGGTCAGCAGTAATTCTGGTGAAGTAAGCAGGCACAAGATCATAAAGGACCCTAAGTTACAAGGTAAAGAGTTTACATTTTATTTTGGCATAATGAGAATATCTTTAAAGGGTTTTCAGGGAGGACATGTTTTGGAAAATCAGTCTTCATTTGATTTGGAGAATAGTTTGAAGACTGAAGGCAGGGGAGACTACTTTTGAGACTAATGAGATAATTTGGCTCTACTTAATGTTTTTGTTTGTTTAAAACAAAACTTTCCTAACTTTCTAAGTATAAAACATTCCTAAGTATAAAACTTTTAAGTATAAAATTTGCTAACTTTTATACTTTTTGTCAGAATTATAAAGATTTTAACACATCCGTGCTTTTTTAGGTTGATTAAAATTTTTGGTTTCAGCATGTCTTAAAGCATGTTAAAACCCATGCACATATACCTGACATGTCATCATTATATTTAAGCATATTTAAAGTCATTTGAGTGATTCATTTCTGACTTTAGTTAATGAACAAAACTCTGGCCCAGTAGTAACTAATTTAGTAGCCTTTCTGACTTAAAAAGTTTTCAGAGGAAAGCCAAGTGTCTCCATGTGATCTCCGTGGACATTTGAATTGACAGTATGAAGGGTACTTTGTTAGGTGCTGGGGATACAAAGAAGTATAGTCTAGTCATGGTTTCTTCTTTAAGGCTTATGACTTAGTTTGAAAAGAAAGACTACTATATAGAAAGAAATAAAAGGGATTTCTGTGATGAATTAAATGAATGGTATGTGAGCATTAGTATTACTGTGGTTAGAGTTATTAGGGAAATTTTCAAGGAGGAATTAAGACTTGGGCTGTATCCTAAAGGATTCTGATAACCACATGAGCAGCAAGGATGACATTCTAAATAGGGGGACCACTGGGAACTCCAGATATGTTGATCTCTTTTAGGGGATAATGTACCAGTGTTGAATAGGCTGGAAAAGATTTTCAGAAAGTGATAAGTAATTCGAGTCAAGTTTAGGGAGATTAATTAGGATTTTGAGATGATAGCTTTTCTTGAAAGTAAGCTTTATTTTGAAGGCAGTGGAAGCATCAGCAGTTCAGCTCAGCAAACATATGTGAGATCACCTATTTGCCAAATACCTTTCAGGCTCTTTTGGATTACTAATATTTCCTAAGTATTTATAATTGATCATGGGATGTTTGGCAAGTCATTTAAATACTCTCAGCCTTAGTTTCCTTATCTGTATACATGTTATTAAATATAATAATTAACTGCCTTGTAGGTAAAGGATAAAGTGTCAAGCACAGTGCTTGATAAATATTAGTAGGCATTCTGTAAATACTAGTTTATCTCCTCAGGATCCTTTGTCTTTTCTTAATATCCCCAACTGCTTAACTCTCTTAGCTCACAAACATCTCAAGGTTTTAGATTTGCTCTTGATATTAACGTAGATTTTATGATCTAAATGATAGGATAACGTGGTTCTTTCCGTAAACTTTGTTCATTAATACTCATTCCTTAGTTTACTTTCCTTGATAATGTAAGAAGTAATCCTGTTTAGTTATCATTTATTAGATTGAACTCTATGAAATTGCCAATATGTTACTGTTATTGACTGACAAAAATGGTAAATTCATATGTGATTCAACCTACTGTAGCTTATGACTATATCTATATAACAGTAGGTACTTAAAATAACTTAGAATTTTCTTTCATTTTCTCTTTAAGATCCTGATAATTTAAGTGACTCTCTCTTTTCTGGTGATGAAGAAAATGCTGGGACTGAGGAAATAAAGAATGAAATAAATGGAAATTGGATTTCAGCATCCTCCATTAATGAAGCTAAAATTAATGCCAAGGCAAAAAGGCGACTACGGAAAAACTCATCCCGAGACTCTGGCAGAGGTGATTCAGTCAGTGATAATGGAAGCGAAGCCCTTAGAAGTGGAGTAACGGTGCCAACCAGTCCTAAGGGAAGGTTGCTAGATAGGCGATCCAGATCTGGGAAAGGAAGGGGACTACCAAAGAAAGGTTGGTATTTATCATGTCCAAAAAATGGGAAAAAAACAAGTTGAAACAAATGGGGAAAACATTGTCTGGTTTTTGTACTATGATTTCCTTGTTCTAGGAATGAGAGAAATTTAAACAATGATAATATAAGATTTTACAGTTTATGTTTTTACTCAGTAATAGTTTGAGGACCATCCCACTTTTTCTTCAGGTTGATCCTTTCTTTTTTGTTTGAGTAGATTTAGTTTTTTTGAACAGAACTTACTTTTGCTTCCAGCAAAATATACACTGATGGTTTTCACAGTTAGGAATTGTGCATGTACTCTCTACCTTTGTTTGAAAGAAGTAGTCAGAAATTTATCATACCTTTTATCTAATGAATCTAATTATATCCATTGTTAAGAATAATAAATATAAATTTGATTGGTAATGTCTGGATCAGAATTTTAATTTTTTTCGTAGAGCTGGTCCCTTGTTTCTCTAGCTTTATTTATTTATTTTGGGTTCTGGAATGGATTGGTCTGTTTCACAGCTTTATCCTCCAGCACCTGAAGTAGTGACTAGCACATGATAGACACTTAAATATTTGTTGAATGAGGGGTCTGTCAGCTTCTGTTTTTAGTAGGATTTTGATACAATTTGGAGATTTCACCAGCTTCTGAATGGTGGGAACTTCAATTTATAGCCTAGGCTTCTTGCAAAATGATTTTGCGATCTATCAGAAATTATTTTTGTTGAATGGCTCTACAATCATTGTTAGTATCAAAATGGAACCTAGTTACCACATTTTGTTTTGGTTTGATGGCAAGGATTATACCTTAGGTACAAAATAAGAACTTCCAAAAAAAGAAATTTTTGTGACATTGTAAGGGGTCTTTAAAAAAATAATATAATATATTGGTCTTTATAAAAACACTTCAATAAGTTTATGTAGAAAAGCAACTTTCAAGGTTGGAATTGTTAAACTTCTGTTGGTTGGTTTGTACATAGAAGTAGAAAGAATGTTCAGTGCTGTTAATGCTTATAAAGCAATTAGTTATTTGAGACATATTGCAAGTTGTAAAGCATAGTTTAACGTGTAGTTTTATATCTAAAGACTATTTGACTTTAAAACATTTGAGGGTGGTCACTGTATTTCTTTGTTAAATATTAATAATTTTTCCCTTGTTGAGTTCTTTCTTTCTTTCTTTCTTTTTTTTTTTTTTTTTTTTTAAAAGACAGAGTCTCACTCTGTTGCCCACGCTGGAGTGCAGTGGCTTAATTATAGCTCACTGCAATCTCAAACTCCTGGGCTCAAGAGATCCTCCTGCTTCAGCTTCTGTAGTAGCTAGAAGTATAGGCATGTGTCACCATGCCTGGCTGATGTTTTAATCTTTTGTAGAGACAGGGTCTTGCTCTGTTGCCTAGGATGGTCCAGAACTCCTGGCCTTAAGTGATTCTCCTGCCTCAGCCTCCTGAGACACATGTTTACAGGTGTGAGCCACCATGCCCAGCCCCCTTGTTGAGTTTTCTATGTACATTTTACTGGCTCAACATGTTTGTTTTGGTCCCAAGAAATGTCAAGTAAAATTTCTGTCTCAGCTGCAATATCATCTTTGTCGAGGTCCTCAATATAGGTATTTTTTGGCTTTTTTATTCATTTTTACTTTTAAAGCATCTGCCTTTTTGGCTTTTAACTTTATGAGCTATTTGAACTTAAGGTTTTGGAAATAGCTTATAAAATGTACACAGCCTAATCATTATTGAACAAGTGGTCTGATTAAAAAGGAGACTGCTGGGGGAAAAAACTGGAAAAAAGCAAGCATCGAAATTAATGTGCTTTTTTTTTTTTTTTAGCTGTTTAACATCTGAACACTTAAAATTATTTCAGATTTCAATTAAAATTTATGAACTTTATGCTCTTTCATTTCTCAATTCTAAACTTTTTCAGGTGGTGCAGGAGGCAAAGGCGTTTGGGGTACACCTGGACAGGTGTATGATGTAGAGGAGGTGGATGTGAAAGATCCTAACTATGATGATGACCAGGTATCAGTGTTTTATTTTTTTTCATGTTTATTCATATAACTTTGTCGACTTCATGTTTGCAATTTACTCATACTTTTGTCAAATTATATGCATATCTATTTATACTCTATGGCTACCAAATTACATATATACACACACACACAGTATAGATCAAAATCATATATATTCTTTACTTTCAGATTGTAAAGTTCCTTTTGGGTTAGGAAACAAAAGTTAACTCATAATAATATATGCATAATTTTCACTTGGTTTCTGAAGTGAGTCAAAAGTAGGTCTTTTAGGGGCACGTGCCTGCAGTCCCACCTACTAAGAAGGCTGAGGCAGGAGGATCCCTTGAGCTTGAGGTTGCAGCGAGCTATGGTGATGCCACTGCACTCTAGCTGGGGTGATAGACCCTGTCTCAAAAAAAAAAAAAAGGAGTCTTTACAAATTCACTTAGTATTATTAAGTTGAATATTTTTCGATAAATTCTGTTGCGTTAATATAGTTTATTTCTCTAGTAATGATAATTGAGAAAAATATATCTTGTTTTGAATTTCATAAGAGTTAATAGATATTAGGTTCCTTTTTTTTTTTTTTTTTGAGACAGAGTCTCACTGTGTCGCCCGGGTTAGAGTGCCGTGGCGTCA